AAGAAAAACACATGCCCGCGGGATGAGCAGATTTAGGTACATTTGAGTTGCCCGTGGAAATCGCGGGGTGAGCAGCCAGAAAGTTAATTAAGGCAATTTCTTCTGGCAGTCCTATATAATTCTATACTTCTCAATAAATTTGATCCAATGTCTGTAAAAATTTGCTCTTCCTCTTAGAGTACTACATTTGTTCTATTCTTGGATTGCATATCTATTGAAGAAACTTCTTGTTCTGAATGTTGTTTACATGGGGAAACTTCAATTTGGGTAAGAATTCAAAGTCTGGTGAATTCTTGTTTGACCTTCATAGCAGGTGAGGTGACATTTCAATATGTACTTGATCAGAAGATCTGTCACACCATCCTATCTACAGAATGTGCATTAATGTGCAAAATAAATTCCTGCCCCTAAGTAAATCTGGTTGTTTTAACATTGTTCTTCAGAATTATTATAATTACTCACATTATTATTATAATTACTCGCAATAATAACTGGAGTCACAATTTTTTCCATATAGAATTCTATCTCCTACAATAATTTCTTGGCAATCATAGACAAAAATCATCATTCACTTCACCTACGATTCTACATTTCGATATTTTAATGTTGCAGGGAGGATGTGACTTCCTTACTGGATTGACAGTGATTTCAGTTTTAGCTTAAGATCTAAAAATCACGTTTTGTCAGCATCGATTACTGGAGACAGAAATATTTAATTTTCATCATCAAATCTTCATTTCAATAATGTTGCATTGACAATGATGGACCTAATGGGCACAATATTATGTGTCTTTTTCTAAAAAGCTTGTGTCAAAATATAGCATATTGATGCCAATAAGTTGCCGTAGTCATTGATATTTCTTCACATGTTTTTCAACAATCTTCTTTCTGTTTTGCCTCCCATATGTTTGTTGGTGCTTTTATCTTCTTGGTGTGTAGTCTCCTTGTATGCTTTATATGTCCTTCACAAAAGCAAGTAATTCAATCAAAGGCTGCAATTATCCACTGCCATGTAAACTTAACAACCATGTTGCTATGTTAACTTACCCCAGCCTGCAGACTCCATTTGAAATACTTGTCATTTCAAAATGTCCTGCAGTTTAAAGGCAGTGAGTGGACATTAAGTTTAGCCTCAAATCTTTAATTGTAGTTATAAGAAATACACACATTTAAAAATTACCAGGCATTCATGTGGAACTTATAAGAGGAAATATGAAGCTCATCTATCAAAGTTGATTGCACGATTGATTTGTGGTGATGCCATCAAATCTACAACCCAGCTAGTTCAATTATATGGCTTAAATTGAACAAGCTTAAAACTCCAAAATTGGCTTATACTGAAACATGTGACATAATTTATAAATACTGCATAAAATAAAACAAATTGGAAATAACTGGGAAAAAGTGATATATATATTATGTATAAACAGAAGAACTTATCATTCTTCAATAATTCGTAATATTAAATAAACTGCTATACATTTAATTATACTAGACACCCTTCTTCCTGCATAGTCTACTTTTAAAAGTTTCTTGCCATCATTAACTGATATTAGATGACTAGAAGATAATTACTCTGTATGCTTTGAAGTGGAGTAGTTTCTAGAATAATGTGAAAAACATCAGCATCTGCTCCACCATTTCAATTGCATTGGATTTTTTAGCTCATATCAAAACTTCTGATCATCATTGCATCATACTATATGGACACAAGCAATAATTTATATTAAATTTCCATAATAAATCATAAAACTGTCCATAATTAATACGAGCTTGATTCAGCTGTCTGTCTATCTGAAATATATTGTCTGTAATAAATTATGATTGAAAGACATGCTTTCAAATGACTGTCCATTCAGTCATACTTAGCTCAACCATTCAGTCATATTTAGCTCATGAAGTTTTGTTTTTATTTTTCTATTTTGAATTTTCACGATGAACTTCATGTTGGGGATGTAAATTTCTATCACATTGAATCATCTCACTTTGCAGTGTTGCCATTTTATGCATAACTGTTTATAGGACGTATGTACATTGATATTACAATATACTGTTGATATATCTCAAATCTTGCTAAACAGTCTTAAATCTTTCAAATAAAATGAAATGTACAATTAATGTTTTGAAACTCATTCATTCTGTCAACATAATTTAACAAACATATTTGCTAGAATCGTTGATTTTTGACTACTTAGTCATCCAATTTTATGCCATTTTATATATTTACATTATACCTCTTAGAAATGTTTGTGCTGGAAATTTTTACAATATTAAAATTATTAAATAATAACTTGATCCTTAATTGTATTATATAATTTATTAAAATAAAAAATTATGCATTAAAGATAATGTCCAATTTATTTGTTTCAGCTCTGTTATTAAAAAAGAAAGCAGAAGTCGTATGAACATTCCTTTTAGAATAGGTGGACCTGGTGGCAATGATGAGTTAGAAAAGAAATTCTTAGATCTTGCAAAAGCCCATAATATGCTTTCTTTGAAAGGTCACAGGTATATATACTTTTATTTTCATCAAGCAGTCGTAGTGTACTCTATTATTAATACCATTTACTTATTAATGCCTTGTTTCATAATTAAAAGGTCAGAGAAAACTGAGATGTACCCCCGCCTCCAAAAAAAACTGACGTGTTTTATCTTATAAAGATTATGTTGGTATGGTATATGCTTATAACTGAATACATTTCAATGAGATAAAATAATACACTATGGAATATGGAAGCACTTAACATGTTTAATATCTAAAATGTGTATTATTATCACATCAGAGATGAATATTTATAATTTATTTAAAAGCTATGAACTATACTGATATGTTATTAAGAAATAAAATAACATAAATATTATCAAGAAGTAGGTTATAATTGGTAGTTTGCTAGTAAAGATGAATTAAAAATATTTTACTGCAAAAGGGCAATAAAGAATATCATATTTGTATTTATCCAAAGCTTTTTCGTGATTCATCCATTTGTTGTATTGCGGACTGTGGCTTTATCATTCAGGTATGTAGTACCTCAATAAAATAGGTTTGACCAAAAATTTTTTATCCCATAGCCCTTATAATTGGGGATACTGTTTTAAGAGATCTTTGTCCGCAATGTACAGAATTTAGCAGAATATCTTGAGATTATCCTTAAGAGACATAGTAAATGAATGAAGGTTATTTCTTGGGTATCAGCTGATAGGAGATAGAAGAACAACTTTTGTATCCCATCTTTTAAGGTTTCCACCTTCAAAATCTTGCACTTGGCACAGATACGTTACATCCATAGAGAGTTATGAAAAAGTTCATGAAATGTTTCCAAGCATTACTGTACATTTAATGTCTTTGGATAGAAAAGAATTGGTAACTGTAGGTTGAAGACAAAGCAAGGAGCGTATTGGTTAAGCTTGTAATCGTAGAGAGGCAGATTGACTAAACAGATGAAAGACAATCTTTCTGCTGCCCAGAAACTTAAATTTTGAAATTTGTGTAAATCATTGGAAGAAGTATTTTTAAAATTTTGTTGTTTGGTTGACTTGTAACATATTGAAAATGCCAAGGGAAAAGACTTCAGCTTCACAGAAAAAAGTTAAATTGTTAAAAGATTTTGATGTTCTTGGTAATTCCAGCCAGAGAAAAACTGCATGTAAACTGGGAATTTTCCAAACAGCAGTGTAAAATTTATTTAACAAGGAATGATAATTAATGAAGAACTAATGAATAAATGCAAATATCTCAAGGAACAGCAAAAAAAGATGTAAAATCGAGAAATGTTGAAACTGCTTTTTTAGAATGGTTGCAAGCTTTTAAACTAAAAAATGTTTCTATTTCTAGAGCTTTTATTTACTAGTTCACTAAATGCTAGAAGAGAATTGTGTATCAACTGACAGATAGATAGATAGATAGATCACAAGTTCGAAAGAGAGAAATCCAACATTGTTCTTCAGAAACTGCCTGGTGAAAAGGGAGAGACAGGTTATCATGTGGATGATAATTGGATAAAAGATATTTTACTTAGGCTGCTAAATGAATACAAGCTGCATGAAATTTATAAACAGATAAAACTGAACTGTGTTACAGAACATCATTATGTTAAACTTCATTACAGAATATTACAGTTGGACTGCCTGACAGAACAGTATTTTTTTAAGGAGGTGGAGAAGAAAAAGAAAAGGGGGAATCATAAATTAATTCTTTAGACCATTTATGAGAACATGTTAAAATACATTCTGAAAGGTACCGTAAATATATCTCATTAAATAAATCCAGCTGTAGAATATGCTTTCCTTTGTATTCTAAAAGAAATTGCTTTCACTTTAACCATTGTTGAAAACTGTATTTTCTGTAGCACAGCACTAAAATAGTTTTTTTATGAAGCCTTGTAATAAATGTGTTTCTAATTACATGATGGCATATTTGCTTGTTTGTATGCAAAACTATTGTTTATTATTATTTTCTTTTTTAGGTCTGTTGGTGGAATACGGATTTCACTTTTCAATGCTGTAACACTGGATGAAACTAAGCAATTAGTTGAAGTGTTAAAGAAATTTTTAAAAGACTATCAGTCTTAAAAAAATATTAAAAAATTCAATATATAGCATTATGTTTAAATCTAAGAATTATTTTATTTTAATAGTTCTCTAAAACATCTAAAATTTTATATTTTTATGCATAATTTCAATTTTTATATATGTATTTACAGCTTTACTCTTATGATCAGAACTTATTTTTTGCTTTGTATGCATTCCATTTATATTCAGAGATTTAAGAAGAGTATTTTCTGATACTTTTCCTCTGAAGTTATTCATCATTTTCTTCAGAAACTAAATTTTTTAGTCATACACTTATGAAAAAAATTTAATCCTCATTATAAGGTGCACAATTTTATCACAATTAAAAAAAAAGAATGAAAAAAATTATACAGAATTAAATCAAGGTAAAATTAAGGATGTATTGTTATAAAATATATCTATTGTTCCAAGTAAATCATTGTTACTGGTTATATGAAGAATTTATATGAACTGCCTGCAGTTTCACTTGAAAGCTTTCTTCCCCAAATTCTTGCTATTAAATAAAAATATTTCATTTTCTTGGTGTTTTCTTTAATGAAAAGGTATATGCATTGCATTTGGAATAAAAGATTGACTTATGTTAAAATGTATAATTAATGAACATTTTTAATGAAGAACAAAATAAGAGAAAAGAGAGATATCATATTAACTCAATTACTTCCTCCTCCCTTTTTTACTAATTTTAATCATATGAAAATTAGGAGGGGAGAGTTATATCAATAATTTAATTTTGAAGGATGTGATTTCAGTAAGAATATAATGAAAAGTATTCATAGATAAACTGCCAGAAGTTATCACAGTATTATTTATTTAAAAGAAATCTACATTCCAGTAAGAATGTGTAATATTAACATTAGAATATCTAGTTAGATATCTTCATTTCTGCTTCCCTGTATCTTGAATCTATTTGCTCTTAATGGTGTCCCCTGCTACTTCCCGGCTTCAAATCATTTAATGCTGTTGGAACGGTTGTTTGTGTTATCTGCTACAGTTTGCAAGTTGTCACTGCCTTTATCACTGTTCAGTCTGTCTTCCAGTATTTAGTGATCTTCAGAATCATTAAGAGTTTTACATGTCCTCATTATCTTCAAGCACTTCACCATTATTTCTTCATCAATCAGAGCACAGGCATCCTAAATCCATGAGCAAATCAATTAGTAAGATCAAAGCGATTACTCTGTGGATAAACTCATTTTAAAATTTAAGGGAGCATTTTACCACTTTGAAAAAGGGAAAAATTACATGAATATTTTTTAAAAAATGTCAGGTCCTTGCTCTAAAAAAAGGCTAAGGAGAAAATATGTGAGTAAATACAATATTTTTCAACATCAGTAACAACACTTTAATAGATAATATAACAATTTTTAAAAAAGTGCTATTTATTTTCAACAAGAAAGGTAAGACGAAAATGGAAACTTGTGGCAGAAGCCATAAAATATTATAATTTGGAAGCATACAGTCTCAAAAAAGAGAAGAATAAGCAGTATCATTGAACCAGATTCTGAACTTTCTAAAAAAGAAATATGAAATCAAACAAAGGAAAAAACAGCAGCTACAGCTGGTTTAGAATAACTTTAGTGGACTGAAATTTTCTTTATTTACACAAACACTTTAAAATAGAAGAAATGCTGTCCATAGGACGACACAGCAAATTTTTTATGCACACTTCACTCAAAAGTACTCTAGCAATAATAAAGAATAGAGCACACAAAATACATACTTCACATGTTCGTTATCATAGCAACCATAGTTGAATCATGAGGCGGTAGCGCCATCTATTGTTGCAAAGACTTATTAGAAATTTGTTTAGTAACAGAAAATACTAAACATATCCCCTGGCCTTGAAGCCTTCTCAAGGTTCAAGAAAGACAAATAGTTAAAGCAAACATAATAACAGTAACAAAAAAATTAATGGAAAATTCAATTAAAAGTAAAGTTCAATAAGAGAAAAGTCAATAGTTCATATTAGTCATGATTGGAGATAAGATAAAATTTAGTAATAGTTCATCTGAAATCCCCAGTAGCCGTATGGACTCTAGCCACTCGAACTTTTTTGTTGCTGCCTGGATGAATTAAGGCAATTCTTCTAATTTTCCATTGGTTTGGAGGCAATTGTTCATTTTTGATCAGAACTAAGTCACCTAATTTTAGATTTGGAGACTTACGAAACCACCGAGAACGTTGTTGAAGGGATGTTAAATACTCTGCACTCCAAAGTTTCCAAAAAGGTTGCACAGTTTATTAAACTAGACCAATGTTTAAGCCTTGAAGATTTAGCATCACTCAAGTCAGATTCAGGAATAGCAAGCAAAGGGACTCCAATCAGAAAATGACCTGGAGTCAATGCACTAAAGTCTTTTGGATCTCTATACATTGCACATAGGGGACGGGAATTCATACACACTTTCACTTGTGTAAGCACTTGAAAATTCCTCAAATTAGAAGTGTGGATCTTAATACTCGTTTAAGATGAAATTTCATGGAGTTCACATTAGATTCTCACAAGCCACCGAAGTGAGAAGATATCGGATGATTAAATAATCAAATTATACCTTCTGAGGTAATGTAGTTACATACTTCATTGCTTTTCTCGATGTGAACTGCATTTTTATAAATCTCTTTCCATTCCTTACTAGCACCTTTGAAGTTAGTCACTCGAAATTTCAGATGGTTTGCCCCATGGGGCGATAAATCTTTTTAGAGCTGCTAAAAATGTTGAAGTTGTAGGTCACTGACTAACTCTAATTTTATAGCTTTTGTTGAGAAACACACAAAAATGGATAAGTAGCACTTGAAAGTTTAGCTCTTCTCCCAACTTGGGACTTAATTGATAATTGAATATGGACCAACATATTCAACACCAGTAACTGCAAAAGGTCTTGATGGTTGAGTGCTGGGTGCGGGTAAATCGCCCGTTATCTGAGTCGCAGACTTGCCTCAATTTTTATTACAAGGTATACATCTGTGAATTATCTTTCACTACACTTCTCACCAAAAGAATCCAAAATTGCATTCGTAAAGTGTTTATCAGTAACTCTTGACTGACATGCAAATAATTGTCATGGTAATGAGTTATGATGAGATTAGTGACATGTCCTTTCTTTGGAAGCAAAATAGGATGTTTGCTCTTTTCAGGAATGTTTGCAATTTTACGACCACGTACTCGAATGATGCCTTCTTCATCAAAGAAGAGAGTTAATTGTATTGCTATTACTTGACTGCTTGCACTTTTTAATTTTCTCGATGTTTTTCAACAAGAGAGTTCTTTAGGAAAATAAGAGCCTTGTACTTTACTAGAGCCTTTATCACTGTTTTTGTAGCTAATCTAAGCTCATCTTTTGTCAGAAAACGTCTCAGACGATTTTTGGAGGAGTTTCGACAGTTGTAAATGAATCTAAGGCATAAAGCAACTATACTACGTAATTTTAATTTTTGTTTAACGTTGCGACGACATTTAATTTTTGTACAGGAAGAAAAATCAACTTTTTTCTCGCATTTGAAGAAATTAATAATATTTGGGGCTGCATGAAGTGAAGTATTTTCAAAGTTAAAGGATTCAGCATAAATAAATAAATAAAAAGGCCATGATACACTACTTATAAACGTCTGACTGAATGACCGGCAACATCTCCACCAACTTTTCATGTTTGGTAAGATTTCGTAATGCTCAGATATTTTACTTTCACTTTTAAACCCTACAACGTTGGCTTTTATAACCGAAATGCCCTATTGTTCCCCGAAATATTATAAAATTTTAAATATAGGTTTTTGATATTTAAGTTTGGTAACAAATGAGATTATTTTTATAATTTTAGAGCGGAAATTTTGGTTTTGGCTTTTCTAATGTGAATTTTGCGTTTTTATAGGCTCAGCTATCCAAAGTTCAGCAGTTCCCGAGCTTTCTGGAGAGTTGACATTTTACTACAATTTTTTACATGTGCAAATTATGAAACTTACCTGCCACCTAACCGATATATTGGTTAGTGTCGCTGACTGCCATGCTGAAGGGCACGGGTTCGAATCCTTGACAAGGTATGGATGTTTGTAAATGTCTAGTGTCCATGAGGCAATGGGCACACTCTAAATATGTGGCGAGCCAAAAGTCCTCTCGAGAGATTGGTGGTAGGGAGTGGGAGACCCTCAGACCCATTCTTCCGGGGTGATCTCCATCAAAATTGTGGGCAGAACTGAGCTAAATTGCACCATTACCCATAAGGTGCTCAAGGTTTTGCCAATGACAGGCATAATCTTGCACTCCTTGCCACGAGGAATTTCATGGGCTTGGGATGACTATACGAAAACGAAAGTGAGCATTAGTCAACAAAACAACAGCAATGAAATTGCTGTTGTGATTACCTACTTTCTGATTAAAGGGTTAGCTGTAATGTTTCTGTGTTAAGTCTGAAAATTTTATTTTTCTTTCGAGGAGAGAAAAAGTAATTTTATGCGGTTAAAATTAACTTACATTTCAGACTTCATATTTATTTTACTGTAAATATACATACACACATACATTTGTTGTTTTATACTCAGTTTATTTAGAGGCTTTTAAACTAGATAGGAGACTCCTGCAACAATTTTTTTTTATTTTAATTCATTGAACAGTTTATATCATGAGAAAAATTTAATTGCTTTCTTGAAGTGTTCATTTGAAAAGTAGTTTTATAATTACTCTTATTTCATATAAATTTTAATTATTTTTCTTACTAATCAATAATGAAGCTGGAATCTAAATTTGGCAGCATTTTCAAATTTTTTAATTCAAAAATACCTTGCTATTAGGTATATGGTCAAAATTTTACACTAAATATGTGTGTTTGATATCAAGAAATGCAAAACATATACGTTGTTATTTATTTGAAAAACAGGATAAATTAATTTTATAACAGATATTTATTGGAACCTCTTTAATTTATTAACAACAATGAAATAAAGCAGTACCTTGAAGGATTAAAGCATACTAATTAAAAACATGTGTTTGATATCAAGAAATGGGAAACATATACTTTGTTATTTATTCAAAAAACTGGAGAAGTTATTTTTATAACAGATATTTATTCGAGCGACTTTTATTTATTAACAACAATGAAATAAAGCAGTACCTCAAAGGATTAAGGCATACTAATTAAAAACGCATTGCTTTTACTCAATTATTATTATTTTAAATTCTATATCAAATGATGTTGGTAAGAAATAATTTTCTTTCTTAAAAAACTTTTGTTTTAAACAGAGGTTTTCTTACTCATTTCTCAGTGTGACATTTGGCCATAGATGGGCCTTTCATAGACTGGACCAGTTTTGATGGAGATGTTTGCAATGGTCATTATGTTCTTTTTCATAATCAAACAACGAACCATTTGAGAAGTTTGCATTACTGAAACAGATGACAGTACCTGTCAACCAAAATCTCTACTAAAGTGACAAGTGAAGTTCCCAATGGTATTCTAGAACTTTGATAAGTATGAGTTTTTCATAAGTCTACTTGAAAGTTTTCCACAGAGAAAACTTTTCATAATTCA